GCAAATGTTTGAGACACGCAAACACACTTGATACAAACACACGCACACACACCCACTTCACACTTCACAAAAGTACATACGCGTGTTCGACACACAAGTGAATCCACGGATGGGATCGTGAAAAAATGAGATGGCGATAGCAAAAGTTGACACGCCCACGCACGCGCACACACGCGCTGTAGAATGATGTTGAGTGCAGAGAAATTCCTCCCTTCTTAATACTTGCTGTGGTTGTTTCAAGTCGATTTTTTTAAGTGTGTGTCTGTGTGTGTGTGTGTGTGTGTCCCACTTTAACTAAAATTAGAGTGTCCATCTCCGGAGGCAGAAAAACACCCCAAATAAATGTGTTTTTTTTTCTACCAGAACACACACACGCACACACCGACATTGTGTGTGTGTGTGTGTGTGTACTTGTTTTTCCAAGTGTTGGTTGGCGGATTTTTCCATCCGTGCTCCCTCGTGAGGCTCCCAAGATGTCTGCTAAACTTTCTTTCAAGGTTTCCTAAAAGTGTCTCTCGTCATTAGCAAGGTGGCATTTCGCTGGAGTTTGTCTTCTTCTAATTTTCCTCCCTGCTGAGGGTTGACGCTTCCCGGTTGACTTCCTCGTGTGTTTCCTTCTTCAGCTCGGTGACAGTCTCCTCAAACGGTTCCCTGTCTGTTTCTTCAGATGCTTTCTTTTGTTCCGCTGGTGGATTTTACCTCGCGGAGCTTTCTTGACATCATTTGCTCCTCACGTGGTAGCCAGGATGGTTCGTTGCATTGATTTCGTTTTCTTTTTCTCTTTTCTTATTTTTTTAGCTTCTAGACTAGGGCTGTGCAAACTTTCTCATTTGAGGGCCGGAAAAATGGAAGGGCCGCTTTCAAAATCGTCCACATTTGGAAAAAAAAAAAAAAAAAAAACTCAAGTCAGTCCAGATAGCGATTCGAGATTGTTAGGATTGTTCATCAGCTTTCTGTTCAGGGCGTTGAGGATTTTTTGGGGTGGCCAACAGCCCTCGATCTCACATAGTAGATCCGGCTCTGCACTGAACGGCAGCCGGATCCCATCTGCACATTTTGAACCCAAAAGAACAAACTGTAGGGAAGTGACCACTTTTCAAACCGTTACGTGAGGATGTGACGTCTTCATCCAAAAAGTGGACCAAACGGAATGATCTTGATCCACTCAGTGTGTTTTAATCACAAATAATAATAATAATATGGCTTGTTTCTATCTTTAAATATAGAGAAAAGTTCTACGGTGACACCCTCACCTTTTTTTTAACTAAATCGCAGCCCATGTCAATGTGTTTTTTTTTGGGGGGGGGGGCATGTCACGGGCCACTGCAAAATGGATGCTGGGCCGCAAACAGCCCCCGGGCCGTAGTTTGGCCACCAGTGTGTCAAAGGACCTCACCTGTCCTCTCAAATGGTTTCCAGGTGATTTTCCTCATTCAAGCCCCAAATTGCTTTCTCGCATGACTCCACGGGATGCTTCTTCTTTTTTCAAGTATTCACTTTGTTCGGCTCCTCGATTGTCGCCTCACACGGTTCCAAGTTTCTTTCTTGACACGTTTTTCCAATTGTTTCCCAATGTGACACTTTTTTAGTTAAGCACTTGGATTTTCTCCTCGCATCGTTGCCAGTGAGATTGTCTTTGGCTCGCATGGTTCCCAGGTCAATCCTTTACAAGGTTTTCTGTTTGGGTTCCCCGTTTGGCTCTTGGACGGTCTGGTCACATGGTCGCCGGTGCTCTGCTGACAAGCGTCTCATTTCGTCCCCTCACGTTTCTTTCCGGGGAATCCCAAAGCAAACAATGTGAAGATGAGCGTCCGTGTTGATTCGACGGCGTGCCGGCTGCCGCCGTGGACCCGACAAGCAAGCAAAGAGACGCACGCGTAGAAAAATGTCACCTTTACTTATTTACACATTGTACAGAAGTACCGTGTGACAAGCCTTATGTACAACACAACCAGTAGCTTAGAAACCCCTGAACTTATACACAGGTGAGAACAACAGCGCACACACACACGCACGCACACACACACGCACGCACGCACACGCGCACACACACACACACACACACGCACGGAATGTGTGCGATTGTGTGTCTGTGTGTTGGTGTGTGCGTGTTCTGGTAAGAAAAAAAAATAAACCACCAAAAACACAAGCACAGTCATGCAAGTTGGGAGAAAAAAAAATGTGTACAAATCTCCAGTGATGGTACAACGCACACACACACACACACACACACACACACACACACACACACACACACACACACACACACACAATGTCGTGCATGTGTTGTGTTACATGAGTGGGTCAAATGTTACCAGTGGGATAAAGGAAAGAAGAGAACAGGAAAGTAAGCGCATACACACACGCACACACAAAATTCATCCATTGTCTTATATAAATGCCGGCGTGGTGTAAAAGGAGGTGAAACAGCGCAGAGTGGTAGTGAAAGAGAAGCGGGTGGGCGGGCTCGGCGCCGCGCACTCCTCATTGATTCCCGGGTGCCCGGCGACCGCTGACATCACAGCAGGAATCCAAAAGAGAGGAAAGAAAAAAAAAAAAAATCGAAAAAAAAAAAACGCTCGGACGAGAATTGAAAACATGCCAGTTTATCATCATAAGAATAGCAAGTTGTCGTTGGACCGAAGCATCGATGCCATCCCCATCCGACTAAACCAAAGCAAAAAACAACAACAACAAAACGTCTGTACATCAATCATATTGCAACCTGATATTGTGCATATTACTCACACGAGGCTGATGGGGGGGGGGGGGGGCAGCCGCGACGTGTACACAACCATGTGCATGTGGGCGGATGAGGGTTTGGAACGGGGGGCAAATAGTTCTGATTTTGACATCAAAAATCCCTCAAAGAGTCCTCATTCAACCTCAGTTTGCGTCGTGTCTGCAAGTTCCGGTCCTGTGGCTGTGTCCCAATTGAGGACTCATTCGAAGGCGGACGATGCCATCCGTAGGTTGTCCTAATTAAAAGAAGGCTGCATTTGAAGGTATTTTAACGCACTGACGACCAGTGAAGGTTGCCCCGTGTCAAACGCAGCGTGTGTCATCACACCACCCAAAAGGTTGCCCCAAATCGCAGGTGCGTTCAAAGGCATTGTCATCGTGCCACGTCGACATCCTAATTGGATGAATGCCCCATATGAATGTCGATGATGTCATAACACCACACAATGTTGACTCCGATCAAAGGTTTCTCTGATACAACCGAAGGGAGGCCACACGTGAAGGCCCATGACACGCAAAGGCTTTTCCAAACCTCAGCAAAGCCTGTGAAGGACACATATCAAGGATGATGTCCCGAAATGTTGTTCCAAATCACGGGCTCCTTCAAATACATGCTTAGTACGCCACATTTAAGACCAATCACACTGGGCCTAAGTGGAAGAAGGCTGCCCTTGAAGGCCAACGGCATCGTAACGCCACACACGACCTATCCCAACGGCAAAGGCTGTTCCAAATTTCAGCGAAGCCTGTGAAGGACACATTATCAAGGATGATGTCCCAAAATGTTGTTCCAAATCACGGGCTCCTTCAAATACATGCTTAGTACGCCACATTTAAGACCAATCACACTGGGCCTAAGTGGAAGAAGGCTGCCCTTGAAGGCCAACGGCATCGTAACGCCACACACGACCTATCCCAACGCAAAGGCTCCTTCGAAATAGCACACTTGCCACATTTGAAGGCCCATGACACCGTAACGCCACACGCAAGGGCTGCACAACCTCTGACGGACGAATTTGGAGGTAGGTGACATCATCACACCATCCCAAAACTCCCCAAATGACGGGCTCCTTCAAATACTTCCTTCACAGGCTGCAGTTGAAGAAGGATGTTGACATCATAACACAATCGAAGGCCATCTCAAATCAAATGCAGCCTCTGAAGGACACATTTGAAAGTGGAGGTTTTTTTTCTTTGTTTGACTTCTTTTTTTTTTTTTTTTTTTTTAACACGACCTCAGTTGACCGCGTACTTATTTCATCCTCGATTGGGACACAGCTTGTGTGTGTGTGTGTGTGTGTGTGTGTGTGTGTGTGTGTGTGTGTGTGTGTGTGTGTGTGTGTGTGTGTGTGTGTAAACCACCCACGTGTCGACACAGTGTTCAATTTTTGTTCCTGAATGCATGTGGCTTCTGTGTGCCTTCATCGTCCGGGACCTTCCTCTGCGACTTGTGTGGAAAGAGAGATGTGGGGGCGGGGGAAAAAAATAAGCAACTTTGGAAAGCACGGCTCACCCGTCGCTCGACCAGGCCCACGCACACTCGCTAGCATGTCTAAGAATGAAGCCACACGGAAGGAATATGAGACTGAACTTGTGAGCTCACACTTGCCGCCGCGGCTCCAAAGGAAAAGAAAGCAAAGAGAGCAAACATCGAATCCAGTGAATTGTGCGAGTATCAAAAAGGGTTTGTTTTTTTTGGTTCGTGTTTGGTGGCGAGTTAGAAAATGTACAAAGTGCACAACGGCTAGGCTAGCTCACCGCATCAACACACGCACTCGCACACGCACACACGCGTGCGAGTGCGGGTGCACGTATGTGACCCTGCGTGCGTGTGTGTGAGTGTCGCGCAGGGCCGTTAAGGAAGCATGCAAGTGTGTGACCTGAAGGCTCGGAGCGAAGAGAGGAAGGAAGCTAGGATGCTAAATGCTATATAGAGAGAGAGAGATATCTTTGTGTGTGTGTGTGTGTGTGTGTGTGTGTGCACAACCATCTCTTTACCCTATGGAGCACACCTTAACCTGAAAGCAACCCCCCCCACCCCCACCACCCAAATGATTGACTTTGTTTGGAATGTTCAATTGGCTGACATCAACATTATCAAACAGTCTTTCTCCATATGTGTGTGTGTTGTGAGTGCGTGCGTGCGGAGGGGTGTCGAGACCCCCGGAACACAGAGCGGCCACCCACTGTCGAGTTCATCTGTAAGTTTGATCCCTGCGTGGCGGCCCCATGCGTGCTGATACGAGAAAAAAAGGGAGGGGTGGGGGGCGAGTCTCAAACATCAGATTCGATGCTGGGCATGCGTCGGTAGAGGCGGGGCCGATTGCCGCCGGCGCTGGAAGCTCGCGGCGCCGTCACGTAGCTCATGGGCTGGGCGGCGGCGGGCGGCACCATGTAGGCCACCACGGGGGGCTCCTGTTGAGGGTAGAACGCCTGCGGGTCCAGGTGGTGATTGGCGTGGTGGCCGCCGTGATTGGCCAGGGTGAGCGAGAGCGGCGGGCGCTGCTTGTACAGCGGCCGGACGGCGGCGTGGGCGCCGGCGCCGACGTGGGCGGCCAAGGGGGGCGTCCAAGCTGCGGTGGTGGGAGGGCGACGGCGAAGGCGGACTGCGGCCGCTGAAGGGGCGGTCGGAGCGCATGGTGAGCACGTTGGCGTAGGCGCCCTCGTCCGAGGCCATCTCCCGGTCCCGGTCGGGGAGGCTCAGGCCCCGCAGCGGGGAGATGGCGTCCGGAAGCACGTTCTCGTACGAGTGCTGGCGACTCAGCTGCAAACGCTGCGCCACGGGCGAGGAGGCGGCGGTCAGGGCGGACGGCGAGCGCGGCGCGGCGGGCTCAAAGTGGCTGACCAGGTCGTCGCCCTCGCCCACCACGCCCAGCTGGCTTTGGGGCAGGAAGTGGGCAAACATGTCGGTCGCGCGCGAGTAGTTCAGGTGGTCCTCGCTGATGTCGTACAGGTTGCCCAGGTGGGCGCAGGCGTCGCAGCGGGCCTGCGGGGGCCGCACCGTGTACAGACCCGAGTAGCCGCTCAGCTTGGTCAGGCAGGACCGGCAGTGGCCCGGACGCACGCCCTGAGAGCCCACGGCCGAACCGGGAGCCTCGAAGGATCCGCTCGACTTGTCCTTGGCGCTGGTGGGACAGGAAACACAATCGGCAAGTGTGAGCGAGGCAAAGCGACGCCTCGTCATGCGCTTCGTCACAAGTTACGAGTCACGAGAGGGTCATGTTTCGGTTCGGGACCAACAGGTGGCACTGTCGGGCTCCCCCCCCCCTGCAGCTGCACACCTGTTGGTAATTATGTCAGGAGTTGTGTCAAGGGACTCCCGCCCGACCGCTCATTGTTTGTTTCTTTGCTGCTGTCATGTTTGTTTGTTCTGTCATTGATCCTTTGGACTTTGTTTGTTTTGGATTTCGTTTTCTCGACGTTTTAATACAATTTGTCCTCCCCCGTGCCAGCGTTTTGGGGGTCCACCACCACCTCGCAAACGTGACAGAGAGGAAGCTACGTACGTTCGCAATGTTTTCATGACGCTTTCCACCCGGGCGCGCGACCACCGTTGCCCTGAGGATAAATCTCCAAATGTCAAAAACTGCGTGAATCTGCGTGACCTGCGATGCGAGAGATTTGGGGTCGAAGAGCCCCCCCGTGAATGTTTTTCGCATTGAGTGATTGGCACCTGCTGTGCGTGTAGGTGCTGTACTTCTTGTCCTTCATGGAGTGCAGGTCGGCCTCGGCGCTGTGGCTGTGGTGCAGCAAGGTGGCGCTCAACTGCAGGATGGGCGCGTCTCCCTTGTGCGTGTAGGTTCCGTCGGGCGGGAACAGGTCGGGCGGGTACGGCTGCTCGTCGCTGCCCCCCTGGCTGTCGCGCCGGTAGGGCGGCGCCGACTGCAGGCTGGCCTGGTCCGAGTCGATGGAGTAGATCTTGGGGCCGCCGCCGCGCTTCTTCAACTGGTTCACGGATTTGAAGCCGCCCCTGGCCACGACGGAGTCAGAGTCTTTGTGGGACGCGGGGCGGCTGGAGCACTCCGAGATGTCCGAGTGGGGCGGGGGCGGCGGCTCTTCGGGCAGATAGCGCTGGCTCTTCATCGCCGGGGGAACCCCCGCGGTCGAGGCGGGGTTGCCGCCGCCGCCGCCGCCCGGCGCCGCCCCGCCGGGCTGAGTCTTGAGGGTCTCCACGCTTTTTTTCCAAAGGGCTCGAGGCTTGGACGGCGGTCCCGCGGGGCCTCCCGCGAGGCCGGGCCGCGCCTTGCCGTTGTCGTTGGTGACCGAGAGCTGCGGCTTGTTGGTGGGGCTGGCCTTGAGCGCCGGCGGCTTCTGCGGGGCCGGGAAAGGCGCCGCGTTGTTCAGCAGGTTCTTGTGGCGTCCGGCCAGAGACAGGAAGGCCTGTGGCCCGCCGGCGTTGCTATAGAGACCGGGACCCTTCGGCGTGAGGCTGTGCAGCGAGTTACCTAGGAGACGAGGAGAGGTTCGTGAGTGCGCGTGCGTGCGTGTGTGTGCCCACGCCCCCTCCGACATGTTTCGCAGTCACTTTGAAACCCCAAGCCCGCCTTCAACCCCTAAGCCGGGTTCAAAGCCATCCTTTGAAACCCTAACCTTGGTCGGGAAGCCAAAACCGCTCTCCAATTTGACACCTGAACCCTCGTCTAAGACCACAAGCTTGTCTTGAAACCCCAACACGGAAAGCCTCACCCCGTGTTTGAAACCCGAGTCTGAAATCTGAACCATGGCTTGAAACCCGAACGTATACTTGAAGTAATACTTTGAAACCCTCATCCGGGCTTGAAACTCTAATTTGAAACCCCAAGGCAGACCGGAAGCCCCGGCACTCTGCAAGGCGAGCCCGTGCTGAAAACGCTGCTGCAGGCAGTGAGGGGGGGGGGGGTGGAGAGACCTTTTCCCGTCATGACGTCGAGGATGCTGGGCTGCAGCAGCACCGTGTTGCGTTTGGGCGACGACATGGCGATGGACTTGGCCGACTTGAGCAGGTGCAGCATGTTGGCCTGGGGGCTGAAGTCCAGCTCGGGCGCCTTCTTCTTCATGTCGATGTGAACGCCGTGGATGCAGCTCCAGATGCCCTTGAAGGACGAGGAGGAAAAAAAAAAATTGAAAATTGACACGAAGAGAGAAGACAGACTTTTCGGGACTCTCTCCGGGTTTAATTGAGGCGATGATGTCAGCGCACGGCGCCTTTAAGTGCAAGGACATGTTCCTCCTCCAGACACTTAACCTCCACGCTGTCTTACACACACGCACACGCGCGCACACACATTTTTTATTTTTTTTTGGCCTGGCGTTATTCTCACTCACCCTGCTGATGGTGAAGAGCAGGCCGGGGCGTCCCGAGCAGACGCCGGTGAAGCAGTAGCGCAGACGCCAGTAGAAGAGATGCTCGGAGACGAAGGTGAGGATGGACAGGCCCATGGCCGTGGCCAGCATGTAGAAGACGCCCGCCATGTTGTCCACGTCCAGCTGGCTGGACATGACCTCGTTCTTCTCGTTGTGGCAGATGCCCGTCAGCCACTGCGCCTCCAGCTCCTCCATTTCGCCTGGACGCCCAAAAAAAAAAAAAGGACGACGGTCGATAACGAGGGAATTGACGGAGGATCCGGATACCGATCGAAGGGGAGGAGGTGGACAATGACGGGGAGAGGAGAGGAACTGAAAAGGCAAAAGATGGCATGAATCGAGGGAGGTCAAAATGGAGAAGCGAGAAAAGGAGCTGAAAGATGAAATAGAAGAGAGCACCGAGACAAAGGGGGAGGTCAAAAACGAATTGAGAGGGGCAAAGTGGAGAGGAGTTGAAAAAAAGGAAAGGGAAGGGACGCGGAGAGCAAAGGGAGGGGCAAAATGAATTGAGAGGAGAGGGTTGGAAGACGGAATTGAGGGTGGGC